AAAAAATAAGAACCAAGATACATCATGTACAGGTACAAGCACCCAGTGATAAATGTAAATGAATAGTATACCTAAAATGTACCAATAAAATTAATTAAAAAAAAAAAAAAGAATGTTGTGAACTGCTGTCAGCTCAGCAACGAGCCTGTAACACCATCACTTTGTATATGGAAACAAAATGAAATAAGACCGGAATAATTACCGTCCAGGCACGACCACTCACATGGTCGCCGGCACAGCGGCTGTGAGTCCACTGCCCACGCAGGGCACCTGTGCCTGACTGTCCCCACCCCAGCCACTCTCCCTGCACCACACCCCCAGCCGCTCAGGACCAGCAGGCCCGCTCAGCTCCATCCCCAGCAGCTCCCTCCCGTGTGTCCCTCTGGTCGGGCTGACTCTGGTCTACAGGGGCCCTGACTCCAAGGGTCCAAGGCTCCCGCTCGGGACTGTGCCATGAGGTGGGTGTCTGTCAGCTGGATGGGCGTGGGAGCTGCCCGGGGGACCAGCGAAGCACATTCTGGGTGTCAGGCAGTCGCGCAGGTTGACCCTGGTCCTCCCTCTGTGGCACCAGGCCTTGCTCTGCTTCCCGGGCCCATGCTATGTGGTACTCTGCCACCTGATGCCCCTGCCTTGGAACCAGATGACCATGGACAGAATCCTCTGAACCACCAGCCAGATGGGCTCCCCTGTGAGCTGTGGCTGTCGGGTACTGTGTCTCAGCAACAGGAATGCCAACCAAATCCCTACGATATATTCACGCCTTTTCCGAGCACCCCTCCTTCAGCAACACACCTGCCCAGCCAAACCCCAGAGCCAGCCTAGTGCCAATCCTGCTCCCCTGGAGCCTGGGACCATGTGCTGAGCAGGACGGGAACACGGGAACACGACACATGCTCAACGGTGCAGTCCCCTGCAGGGCCACTGACGCCTCTGAGGAAGCCTCCTCCACTCCATCCTTCGCCTCAGGCCCCTGACAGTGCTTCACACCTCCTCTGCCCTCACACCTCCAACACCTCCCTCTCCCCTGCGCCCACCGAGGCTGAGGTCCCACAGCCCCGCCAGGGCAAGTGCCCACAGCCCCACTGTGTGCCGGCTCCAGCCCTCTTCCCTGGGAAGCTTCTGCGCTGGCCGTCGCACTGGACCCCCTCCCTCCACCCTGATGAACCCTGCAGCCTTTCCCTCCCAGTCCATCCAGAACCTGACCTGTTCTGCCACCCCATGCTGACCTGAGCTGCTGCAAAGTCCTCACCAGCCTCCCTCCTGCCAGCGCTCTGTCCCTAATCCTGCCACTCCATCTGAATCACAACCCCTGGTGTCCCCATCCTCCAGAGCCTGGGCCACCCAGTGCCCACACACTGGCCCCTGGCTCTGCTCCCATCTGCCCCATACACCCTGCCACAGGATCAGGCACAGGGAGGGCTGAGCCCTTGGTTTACCAACCGCTGTATCCCTAGGGCCTAGCAGTGCCCAGAACTGAGATACTCTTCCTTTAAAATCCTTTAAAAACGTGATCCGAAACGGTTTAAGGTAAGTGATAAAGGGGCTTCTCTCGATTTAGCATCTGGGCAGGCCTGGGTGGTGTAAACAGTCAGCTCCGAGGCGTGCAGAGCCCAGTGCTCCTTGCTCAGTCTGTGGCCGGCGGGCCAGGCTCGGCCTCTCTGGCCTCACTGCGGCACAGGCACTCACAGCAGCCTGGCAGCTCTGCCACGACCAGGCGCCCATCTGCCCGGCACCACCACAGGGAAGGCCCACCTCGGCCTCCGAGTCGGGAGTGTCTGTGAAGCCTACAACCCTGGCACTGGTGCAGAGGGAAAAATAGCAGAGAAAACAATGTTCCCATTTCAGAATATATTAAAGGGTAGTTCGGGCTGCTCAGTTGCGCCACTCCTGACTGGCAAGCACAAGGTCCTGAGTTCGATCCCTGGTACCAAAAATATAACATAAAATACAGGGTGGTGTTAGGGTTCATCTCATGTATAGTTGGCCGGTGAAACAACTCTCGGCTGTTTTCTGAAGACAGAATAATAACTTTGGCACCGCTCCTCCCTCTCAACAGCATCATCTGGAAAAGGAAACCACAGCTTTTACTCTCCTTCCATCAGAAACCCCATGAAGCCGCTTCCCCCGCTTAGAGCCGGGGCCATCTCTCCCTGCTTTTAGTGCCACTGAGATGAACCCCAAACAGGTGGCCAGGAAGGGGTGGCAGGCCGCTCATCTTCCCAGCCCGGGCTCGGCTTGCTGAGCAGGGCTCCCGGAGCAAGGCACAGCTGGCACCTGCCGCCTGAGCAACCACAGGGTTCCCAGCTGGCCCCAGGCACAGGCAGCAGAGCAGGTCCCCAGTCCCTTGCACCCCAACCCACCATCCTGCAGATGGACTTGGCGTCCTCTGAGAACTTCTCCGAGTACTCCTCAGGGTCTGTCCTCACTCTCCGCTCGACCTCTTCCCGCTTGACTTTCTCTTTGGGCTTTCTGAATGGAGAATGTCCCTGAATCATTTCATAGATCAGACAGCCAAGGCCCCACCAATCAGGGCTAAATGTGTACTTTTCATTATTGATAACTTCTGGAGCTACATAACAAATATAGGAAATTCAATTAAACTTTCGTTTTAAATTTTCCTATAATTAATTCCAAATAATACATTATAAATGCAACATTTGCTACAACATGGATGAACCTTAAAAACGTTGTCAAGGGAAAGAAGGCAGACACAAAGAGCCAAATGCTGCATGGGTCTGTTTGTATGAAATAGAAAAGCTGGGTGGGGTGGCGCAAACCTGTGATCCCAGCACTGGGAGCTGAGGCAGAAGGATCGAAAGCAAGTGTGGGCCCAGCCTGGGCCACTTAGCAACTTAGCGAGACCCTGTCTCAAAACCAAAGAGGGCTGGGGATGTGGCTCAGTGTGAGGGCCCTGGGTTCAATCGCTAGTACTGAAGGAAAGAAAAAAGAATACACAAATCTGTAGAGATAGAAAATAAATTGAGGTTGGCAGGCCTAAGGGTGGAAGGAGAGAAATAAGGAATGACCATTAATCCTATTAGGGTTCATTTTTAGGAGATAAAAATGTTCTGAAATTAGTGCTGAGGGTTGTACAACTCTGCATTACACACTTCAAGCTGGATGGTATGATATGTGGACGCTAGCTCAATGCAACTGTGATTTTAAATGTTTCTCTGCTCGTCCTGGAGGAGCCAAATTGCTGCGGGGCTCAGGGTATGTGACGAGGGACAATGGTGCCGGGGGAAGACTGTCCTGAGGGTGCTCCCTCCACTTAGAGCCACCCACTGGTCCCAAGTGCATCATCAACATCTGATCCTCTGCTCCTTGCATGAACATGTGGCTGACTATGTCACCTGTGCTGTGGACACCCCAGAAGCCAGCGGAGGCAGGAACAGGGATAAGGTCTCCCTGCAGGGGGACACTGGCCCTGCCCACAGAGCCTGGGAATAACCAGAAGGCGGTGGTTTCCCAGAGGCCCACACAGCGCACTCCCCTGTGGCCCCCTCCACTCTGCCCTCACATCCAGGGACCCCAGGCTCAGAGCCCTCCGTGGGCCTCACTGCCTCTCTGTAAAAGGGGCTGCAGACTAGGAGAACTTAACTAGTGCTGAGCTGAGCGGGAAAGCATGAGGACCACTGCGGTGGCCTGTCACCTACCCATGTAGCCAACGGTTCCAACCCTTCCTTGCACCATCTGGCCTTCTGGGACCTCCAGGGCTAACCCGAGGTCTGAAATCCGGATGTGTCCTGTGAGCGTTCAAACACGACGTACAGATCACAGGGAGAAGCGATGGCATCTCAGCACGTCAGCAATGGGGGCCCTCTCGGAAGTCACAGCATTTCATACTATGGAGCCTTTAACCCTAAAATAACTCGTTCATATTTAGTAAAATTCTATACAATGCATTGTTTCACTAAGAGCAGGAAGCTAGATTTACACCTGGGAAAGCTCTTTAATCAGAGGCAACAATTAGATAAGATACAAGCATTGTATTTATTATTTTGTTTCTTTAGAACTGCCAGGTACATGTATAAAAATAAATTGAATAGTGGATCAACTACAAAATAGCAAGCAAATAATTCCCGTTGGAGTACCAGTAGCTTTATATATAGGGATACGAGGTTTTTTCCTGGAAAAGAGTCAGGGAAATAATAAAATGAAGGTACTTGGAGAAGCACGCTATGTGTGAATGCCTTGTGTATAGGAGGCTACAAATATGTGTAGAATTCCCAAGAAAATAATTGTAGAGAACAGTCTTATGAAGATAACTGTCACTGGACTTGGATCTACCCTAAGGACCTCGTTTATTCATACATTTATTTACTGCAGCACCAGTGTTGAAGAGGTTATGAAAACAGGGATCAAAGGAATAAAGCAAGACGTGGGCCAACAACAGGAAACATTATTTCGAGGGTGAATGTTCTTACTTTTGAGTTTCCTTTCATATGCTTCAACTCACCTCTTAACTGAAAATCTAACTATCTGTGCTACTTGTATAAATATGGGAGATAACAATGCTATCTATATTGTATTGAAACACACCCCCCCACACACACGCACACTTCCTTTGTTGCTATTTGCACTCTGCATCAACTGGCCGTGCACTTTAACCTCTGTATCAAGTCCCTCTACCAACTCTACTGCTAGGCGCAAAAGGCTGGCTCACTTACCATAGTCATCCAGGAGGATATTCTCTGGCTTTAAGTCTCTGAAGGGGAAGAAACAACAGGCTGTTATTTAGAAGCAGTACTGTGATTCCCATGTGTCCAGCAGAAATGACCACAGGTCTGCAGACATCTCCATGGTAACGAGCAGTCACCAGAAGAGCAGAACAGCAGACAGCAAAGCCACTTTGGGTGGGGGGAGTAACTGGGAATTGATCCTTGGGCCTCTGCACTGAGCTACCTCCCCAACCCTTTTTATTTTTTATTTTGAGACAGGGTCTCGTTAAGTTGCTAAGTTGGACTCAGACTTGGGATCCTCCTGCCTCAGCCTCCCAGAGTGCTGGTACTGCAGTCATGTGCCATCAAAGCAAGGCTTGCAAAACCACCCTTTGTGAGCCCTTCACATTGTCATAGGCTTTGGTGACGACAATATACAAGTCAAGCATTATATAGGATTCATCACAGCAAACACTTTACATATGGTAAAAATACAAAATGAACTCCTTTGCACTGTCATGCAGACCCAAAGACAGTTCAGTGATTAAGTCCACATTCCAGTAAGAGGGAAAGAAAGCAACTAACCCTTCATGGATCTAGTTCAAGCTCTCTTATCATCAATATATTTTTAAAAACTTCAACAACTAGCCATGTGCAGTGGTGCACACCCGTAATCCCAGCACTCTGGGAGGCTGAAGAGCCCAAGTTCAAACCCAGGGGACAGGGAGGTCTCCTGTCCGCTGTGGGGTCCCATAGCAGGGGATGGTGCAGCAGGATCAGACTTAGGGAGAACCTGTCTCAAAATGAAAAGTAAAACAAAAAGGGATACAGATGTAGCTCAGAAGGCCCTTGGTTCAATCCCTTGCATAACACACACACACTCAACTGAAAATGTCCCGGATTGGGAGACCTCAGCTAGGGGTCAGACAGGTGTGGATTCGCTGATTAGGTGTGCGGCCCTCACCTCTCCAAGCCCACGTCGTCATCTGTGGGATGGAGGAGTCCCCACCCATCCCATCCCGAGCTTCTGCAGGGTTTGGATGAGACCATGTCATCCACCAGGAAGTGTGTAATAAACAGCGGTTACTGTGCTTCATGGCTCACTGTAAAGGTACAAGGGTCAAACCTAGGGCCCAGGAGGGCCTAGGACATGCTAGGCAAGTGTTCGGCCACTGAGCTAGCGCCCTAGTCAAAAGACTAAAAATACCTCCAGTGTAATATCTAAAACTATTTGGTTTTTTTCCCTTCAGAAGAAAATCTTGTTTTCAAATAATTTATATTTCATTCTGATTTCACATTTGGCCCTTTGGCAAAAACCCAGCTGCCCTAAGCACTGTTGCTTAGCAGTACATCTGCATACAGCAGCAGGGCCCGGGAGGAGGGTCAGACTCAGGCCACTTATCTCCACAGGAACTGTGGCCAGGGCAGCAAGTGCCCACTTGTGCAGTGGCGCAGAGCAGGGCCATGTCACCCTCACTGCCATGCTGGCGTCCCATTATATTTAACCTGCCCATGGGATGGGTAAGGTGAAGAGAAGCCTCATGCAGTCAGAGGCGGCTTTTTCAGAGGTGGCTGAGGCTAGGCTGAGAGATGTTGGGATTAGGGTGGGTGATTACTAAACCAATCCACTGATTGGTTTGGCCCTGCCCTAATCCCCGGAGCTTGGACACACTATTAGGGACAGAAAAGGGTTTGTCTTCTCCCTTGCTTGCTTTGCTACCTTCTGCCTTGCCACGGACTGTTTCTCCTCTGCAGTGCCCCTCTGCTATGCCACCCGGCCTTGGAGACAGCCGATTATGGACTGAAACCTCTATAAACTGTAAGCTAAATAAACCTTTCCCCCTTAACTTATGGGTGTTGGGTATTCTGTCTCAGCAACGAGCAGAGTAACTAAGACACCTGCCCATGGGATGGGTAAGGGGAAGAGAAGCCCAAGGTCCATCAGGGCAGGACCAGCAAGATCAGGGCTTAGACTAAGCTTGGGAACCCCAGCAATTAAGGGACAGGTGGGAAGAACTGTTCTCCTATAGCTAATTATACTGATTACATTAATTCTAACTATTACATTTAATTTGATTTTCTTTACCTAATTTTAAGGTGCAATAAAAGAAAATACTATTTGAAGACATTTAATAATGTTATTTTCTTTGACACAGTGAAATCCTTTCTAGAACTTTTGAAATAACTCAGAAGCTTGGAAAAGAGCTTTTTCATACCTTTATCTGATCAACTTACATAAGAAACAAACTTCTGATTCAAGAAGACAACTGATTAGGATTATAGAGACTAAACAGAAGGCCAAAGCACTCCTCGACTGGCTGTGCCCAGTGTGACCGCTGCCATCCGGCTCTCAGCTGCGCCCCGGGTGGCTGGCAGGAAGCCCTGTGCCCTTACCTGTATGCAATTCTTTCTCTCTGTAAGTCTTCCAAGCCGCAACACACCTCCGCAGCATAGAAAACAGCCTTTTCTCATCGAAGCCGGAGCTGCCCATGTTGTAAATGTGGAACTTCAAGTCCCCTCCGTTCATGATGGTTAGCACCAAACACAAGGTTTCTTTGGTTTCATAAGTGTAGGCTAAACTAACCTAAACACAAAGGCATAAAAACAAAACACAGAGGACCTGCTCATTCATTGGTGATTTATTCTGTTTACCAACAACATTCGAATGATCTATGTTAGACTCACAGTCACAACACACAAACACTGCAGGCTGCAGGGAGACACACCTCTTGCACCCTCACCTGCCCAAGACCTTACCGCAGCTGTGCAGGGAAAGGACAGAACTCGCCAAGTGAGGGGCAGCAAAGCCTCGCGGGCATGTGGAGCTCCGTCCTGAATGCTGTGCTCTGATCCCCGGAGCACTGACATGCAGAGCTTGCATTCTGCATGAGACCTGCAACCCCAGCACTGTGGGCTGTGCTGCTCCTTGCCTGCAACACTATTGTGTGGTCACCTTCTTAGCCAAGCTGTGCTGCGTGGGGTTTTGTTGTTGGTTTTGGCGTGCTGGGGATGGAACCCAGGGCCTCATGGTGCCAGGTAAGCGCTCTTCCACTGCCCCACATTTCAACCACTAATTGTGGGTTTGGGGGGTTTTTTTGGTACCAGGGATCGAACTCGGGACCTTGTGCTCGCACGGCAGGTTGCGGGACACTAATTGTGGTTTTAATTTGCCTTTCTCTGTATATGGAAACATAGGGGCTACTTCTCAGATGTTTTCCATATACTTACTAGTTATTTGGACTCTCTTTTGTGAAATGTCTATCAAGTTTTTGTTTGCTTGTTTGAAGAGACAGGGTCTCACCACGTTGGCCAGGTTGGCCCTAACCTCTTGGGTAAAATAGTTTCTTTTTTACTCCTGCCTCAGCCTTCACAGAAGCTGCGACTTCACATATGTGCCACCATGCCTAGCCAAAAATATTCTTCCTCTGCATACTAGGAAACTGTTTTACCCCTGAACTGTACCCTTACCCCTTCCAAGTGTTTGAGCATCTTCTATTGCTTATCTGTCAAGTCACACATGTTCCCCTGCTGGGGTTCTGCCTGGGGCTCCATTTGATCTGCTGGCATCTTCCCAGCACTGAGTCTTCCATTCGGAATACGGTCTCCTTCCGGTTATTCTGGCCTTTAATTTCTTATAGCAGTGCTTTACAGTTCTCAGGGCAGAAGTCTTACATATTTTTGTTAGATCTTTCCTAGGCTTTGATATTTCTCTTTTCTTGCCCCTTCTTTTCCATTCACCATATAGTTCTGCTTTATTTATTTATTTATTTATTTAATTTTTGGTACCGGGGATCGAACTCAGGACCTTGTGCTCGCGAGACAGGCACAGTGCCACTGAGCTAAATCCCGAGCCCTGGCTTTGATATTTCGTGATGCTATTGTACACAGTATCAAAATTCTCATTTTGTAACTGCTTTTGGCTGGCTCACAGCTGATCACTGGCTAAAGCAAATGGTTACCAGTGTGGATATATACACACAATCACGTCCTGGGAAGGCTATGACAGTCTTTTACCACTCCTTCTTTCTCCAGCCGTAATCCCTTTCCCTCATCTCATTTACTGACTGGAGGCTCCGACATAATGCAGCAGGTACCCCCACCTCATTCCCGGTCTCAGGGGACAGCCCTTTGTGACAGTGCTAAACATTTTATTAAGGCAGTTCTCTTCTCCCTCCTCTTCTTTTTTTTCTTCCTTTGGTACCAGGGATCGAACTGGGGACCTTGCACTTGTGAGGAAGGCAGAGGAACCACTGAGCTACATCCCTGCCCCCCTCTTCTTCTTGAGACAGGGAGACCTGTGTAGTTCGGGCTGGCCCTGAATACACTGTGTAGCACAGGCTGGCCTCAAACTGGCATCAGTCATCCTGCCTCACCCTCCAGAGTGCTGGGATTACAGGGTGCCCAGGTGAGTTGGTTCCCTTCTAAACCTGGTTTGCTTAGAGCAGTGATGGTGAACCTCTTAAGAGACCAAGCACCCAAACTGCAGCCCCAAACTCACTTATTTATGGCAAAGTACCAGTGCTGTAATTAAACCTGAACGGTTGGCTGCTGGGGCAAGACTGGGGCAACTTGACTTGCACACCGACAGACAGGGGTCTGGGTGCCCTCTGCGGCACTCATGCCATAGGTCTGCCACCACTGGCCTAGAGACTTTCGTTTGTTTGGTTTGATTTTGGTAGTACTGGGGACTGAACCCAGAGCCCTGCATAAAGCTACATCCCCAGCTTTTTATATTTTATTTCCAGACAAGGTCTTGCTAAATTGCCCAGGCTGGGCACAAACTTACACTCTTCCTGCCTCAGCCTCCTGAGTAGCTGGGATTACAGGTATGCACCACTGTACCCAGCTAGTTTTTAACCATGAACGGGCACTGAGTTTTACCAAAAGCTAGTCTGGCAGCCATTGAAATGACCATATGTTTCCCCTGTATCCTGGTAATGTGCGTGCAGGTAGGGGCGGGGAGCTTAGGGGAGCCCAGCTGCTGCTGTGTGGGCCAGGGTGGTGGTGGGAGTGGACATGACTTAGGCACAGGTCAGAGCTGCCATCCCATCGTAAGCCGGGGAAAAACAGAATCACAGATGAAGAAAATATTTCTAGGTTCCTTGGGAGAGGCTAAGAATACAGAAACCAGATTATTTAGATGGAATAAACTATCACTCCTATGTACGTCCCTTTGCTAAAGATAGGTTTGTGACTTATGTGTTTCAAGATAGCAACACAAATAAGTTTAAAGCAACTCCAAGCGAGCTCATTTTATTAACTATTTTCACAGAAGTGCACAGGACTTCGACTGACCATGCACACAAACCCGTGCTGTGAAACTCAGGTGCTGCTGGGACGCTTGCTGTTTTGGAACCTTTGTCCCCAGCACAGAACAGCTGACCTTAACGCTGAGAACTAAATGACTTCTAGGAGATAATTCTAACACTACAGATCATTTTATAAACTGTTATTCACACTTTCTCTTTAGCCAGCCTTCATGCTGCAATAGATGCTATGGGAAACATGTGCCCAGGTGAGGGAACCTAGGTTTGGAGAGGAAGCCTGGACTCGTTCCACATTCACACAGCTGCCCCATGTTCGGTCCTTGCCTGGAACAGTGAAAGTAGAGTTGGAGGTTTCATCAAACTGCGATACAGCAGTTGAAGCTCTGGCAGTAAGCATGTCAAGGGTCAGAAAAAGCAAAAAGATAGAAAACAGACTGAAGCCAGAGAAGAGAAGGCCTAGAGAAAGGACCTTCAAGCACATCAAAGTCACAGTGCCCCCACCAGGTGCCCCCAAAGGCCAGAGAAGCCCAGCGGGAGGCTGCCACCAAAGGACAGTCACCAGTAAGCACCCAGGCAGTGTGGGGAATTCGACCATCCTCAGTGAGCTGGGAGATTGTGAACGGGGGCAACAGAGTGGGATGGAGCAGGACAGTAGGCAGCCAGGGACTTGTAACAAACCACAAGTTATCAGCAGGATCAGCACTGCACCTTAAGGCCCCAATAAGGAAGAGGGCTGCTCCTTAAAATAGACTGTTCCCAGCACAAGAGAGCAAAGCCTCACACAAATTCAATGCAGAAACACAGCATGGGACTTTCAATGCCTGAGTGCAAGAGTACTACAACAGCTGGGTTGTAGTGCACACTTGCGATCCTAGCTCCTTGGGAGGATGAGATGAGAGAGTTGCAGGTTCGAAGCCAGCCTGGGCAACTTAGTGAGACGGTGTCAAATTTAAAAGGGCTAGGGTATAGCTTGGTGGCAGAGTACCTGCCTTGCATGCATGAGGCCCTGGGTTCATACCCAGTAACAGACACACACACATACACACACACACACACACACACACTCTCTCTCATACTTATAAAAAGTAATGTTAATAAAGCAATATACAGGGGCCAGGGATTTAGCTCAGTGGTTTCATCGCCTGCTGTGCAAGCGCAAGGACCCAAGTTCAATCCCTGGTACCAAAAAAAAAAAAGCCACAGAAAAGCCCATGTACAGAGGAATAAAGGATACACTTGATGGCTTTAATAAATAAATAAAGCAATATACAAGGAAGACCAAAAGAAGATACTTACTACAAATCTACTATGCACTTTTTCCAGAAGTCTTTTTTCATTCAGAGCCATAGCTTCACCTTTCCTCCTCTTAATTCTTTTTTTTTCTAGCTTTTTGCAGGCATACATTTTTCCTGTAGCTCGCACTTGACAGGCACAAACCTAGTATGAAAAGGGGGCTTATGTACATGGGAAATTCCTTGGGTCTCGCTGCTTTCTCTGTGTGGCCCCCTCCGTAACACCGAGCGGTAGCATCTGAAGAGCCCGTGCTGCTTTAGTTGCGCACACGCAGAGGTCTGGAACTGGCTCTTCCTGACTTAAGGTTCTTATCTACAAGAGGCAGCTGAGAGTCAAGTGAAGCTAAGGTTGTCCTTTGGAAACCATGAGACATGGTAAAACAGGACTCATTATTCATATGTGATCATGCTATACCACCTGTTTAATTTAACTATCCTCCATATGTCTATTTCGGTTTTTCGTAAAAAAGCAAATATGTAAAATACAAAATTAAAAAGTCTTAATTATTTTTAAAGTCTTAATTTTTTATTGTTTTGTTTTTGTTTTTGGTACCAGGGATCAAACTCGGGTCCTTCCGCTTACGAGGCAGGTGCCAGAACCACTGAGCTAAATCCCCGGCCCTAAAGTCTTAATTTTTTAAATTAAAAAGTGTTGACACATTGTCCAAGGGTGGACACAGTGGTTTACGCTCCTTGAGAAGCTGAGGCAGGAGGATCCCTTGTGTCTAGGAATTCAAGGCCAGCCTAGGCAACATGGTGAGACCTTTTCTATAAAAAAGTTCAAAAAGGTAAAGAAAGATGTTTCATAAAATCCATAGATTTTTGGGGCAGGGATTTAGCTCAGTGGTTTCGCCGCCTGCTGTGCAAGTGCAAGGACCCAAGTTCGAATCCTGGTACCAAAAATCCATAGATTTTTATATCTTTAATTAATTTAGTCCTTAAAGTAATACTTTTGAATTATTATAGCTTTAGAGTATGAACATTTACTTGGAGAGAATAGAAGGAGACCCGAACCCTCCACTTCTGCTTATCTACACAAGGCCATTGCTTCCTCCAACTCATGCTAACTGCACCCAGGCTCACATGCACACCCCACATGCACAGCCCACACGCACACACACCACACAGATCACTTTTAAAGCAAATATAAGACATGATATAATTTATCCATCAATAAAATGATTTTGATGGTGAAATACAAAATTTATTATGTAAAATACTAAAGTAATAAGGACAATGGTAAAATCTTTGTCATCTTAATTCCAAGGTAAGTCTCATTAATATTTTGTTGTGCAGGTTTCCGAGTCCACCTTTGCACATGGCTGTGTAAGAATATATACCTGGCTTCCCCGACTCCTGCCTTGTAGGACAAAACCAGGATCATGGGTGCTATCGAATGCAGAATAGTTCAGAACCCCCTTTTTAATCTTATAGTGTGACTATTTCCCCATCATTAAATATTCTCTTGAAATATGACTACTGCAAAATGTGTTTAATCCTTTTCCTCCCATTAAGTCTTATGGGAGTCTCTGCCTATCTCCTTAGCATTAACTTGACATGAATTCCCTCAGGCAGAACCACCAGGTCAGAGAAAGGCAAAGGAAAGCAGGTCAGAGCATGAGGTATGCTACCAACAGAGCGACACATCCGGGACCAGGCTGTGAAGAGCTGTGGTAACTGGTCCAGCCAATCACCTGGAAACCCTGGTAAATGTGTTCAAAGTAATGGATAACATCATAAATATCCCAAGTCTCTCACAAAGCCGAATTTGGCTAAGGTGTTCCTATGAATCCATTCACAATCTCATGAGGCCATAATCAGGACTTCGTTCTTTTGTAACTGTAAGATACTCAGGTCCCTAAAACCTCTTTTCTTTGATGCTGGGGAGAATCTGAGTCTTTGCTCTTAGAGATCACGAAGGGCAGAAGAGTGAGCAGAAGAGAGATGAGTCTCCAGTCCGGGGGCTCAGACAAGAGACGGTTTCTTACAGACCATCGTGTGTCCAACTTGTGGACACATTTTGTTTGCCCTCATTTTTTAAATGTTATAATAGAAATATTTTTAAAAGGAAGTTTTGTTACTTGAATACATTAACTGTTTTATATTTCTTATATGAAGCCCAAGAAAATTCTTCACTCAAAAAGAGGGGAGCAAAAATAAATCAAGGCAAGCCTCAGGCTTTTCACAGCTGAAAGCCTTTGGTGGAGGAGGTCAAGTGTTCCACCAGGTCTCAGAACCAAGGCAATGCCAGGCATGGTGTCGCACCCCTGTGATCCCAGCACTCAGGAGGCTGAGGCAGGAGGATAACAGAGAGTTTGAGGCCAGCTTGGGCTATATAGTGAGTTCAAGGCCAGCCTAATGTACATAGTGAGACCTTGTCTCAAAAAAAAAAAAATAGCAGGGCCAGGGATTTAGCTTTAGGTGTGGCACCACACCTGCCTCACAAGTGCAAGGTCCTAAGTTCGATCCCCAGTACCAAAAATAAATAAATAAATAAAAATTAAAAATAACAAGAAAAGAACCGAGACGATGACTGTGCTGGTCAGGTTCTCTCTGTGTGCCCAATGCCTCACGCAGTGCAGCACTCCTGGCTCAGGCTTTCTCTTGTACTCCTCATCTGGTGGCTTCTGGTTTGAATTGGAATTTGGGAGCATGCATGATTTAAATCACATCTGGGCAGTGTAACTCCTGAGCTACAATCCCAACTCTCCTCTAGTTTTTATTTTGAGACAGGGTCTTACTCCAGCCCAAGGACTGAGCCTTTTTTGATGTAGGGGTGAGGTACATATATATCCAAACATAAACAGGTTAAATAAACATTTAGTAATATACTCTGGCCTGGCATGGTAGTGCATACGTACAGTCCAATTACTCAGGAGGCTGAGATAGGAGGATCATTTGAGCCCAGCAGTTTGGCCAACCTGGGCGACACAGTGAGTCAGAGGGTGTGTGTGTGTGTGTGTGTGTGTGTGTGTGTGTGTGTATCTATCTGTCTCTGTCTGTCTGTCTCTCTCTCTCTGCAGTAGTGGGGATTGAACCCAGGACCTACACACCACGCTATATCTCTTGGCCTTTTTATTTTTTTCATTTTGAGACCAGATCTTAAGTTGCTAAGCTGCCTAGGTTCAGCTTGAACTTGGCACTTTCCTGCCTCAACCTCTCAGGCTCTGGAATTATAGGCAGACCTCAGCTCCTAAAAAATGCACTCTTAACGACATAAATTGTATGGCTAGTCCTACATTGCAGAAACAGAATAATGGTCTGCAGGCATACCACCCTGAAAGGCCCGATCTTGTCTGATCTCAGAAGCTAAGTAGGCTGGGCCTGCTTACTACTTAAAAGGGAGAAATGGAGTAACAGAAATTCTATAATGTGGAAACAATAATCTTTCAACCTGGATAAACTTCCTGTAATTGAACATCAAGCAAGGGAAACAGCTTCTGTTAGAAACAGGAAGTGGAAGATGAACTCATAAAGACTAGAGATGTTTTTTATTTTATTTATTTATTTTTTTGGTACTGGGGATCGAACTCAGGTCCGTACACTTGCAAGGCAGGCGACGGAACCACTGAGCTAAATGCCCAGCCTAGAGATGTTTTTTAAAGGCTTCTAGGAAAGTACCTTTTGCTCAAAATCCCATCTCCTTTCTCTGGGCTAGCCAACATAATTCCTCAACACAGTAAGGAAATGAATGTCCTGGTGCAGTCACACATTACCTGGAGCTAGTGTCTCGATGGCCTTACTGTTACTGTCTAGAGGAGAAGGGCTGCTCACACTGCTCCGCATTACTCACCTCTCCAAATCCGCCTTTTCCCAGAACTCTGTAATGTCTAAACATGTTCTTGGTTACTGGCTGCCTAATCAATTAGAAAGAAAGTTTAGGGCTCACGTCACACTGCTACTTCAAAACAGGAAGCCTACCTAGGTCTCCCGACGCCTTACTCACTGGTCCTACTGCTCCAGGGAGTCCCCAGAACAAGGGTGGCTATACTCAGGACTGCTGCTCTCTCCAGGGGGATAGCTCTCCACTAGCACTGAGAGAAACGGCACATTTAAGATTTATTGAAAGGAGAGCCAAACATGGTGGTGCATGTCCATAACCCCAGCACTCTGGGAGGCTGAAACAAGAAGACCACAAGTTTGAGTCCAGCCTGGGCAACTTAGCAAGACCCTGTCTCAAAATGAAAAACACCAGTTCTGGGGGTGCATGTCTACAGTCCCAGCACTCTGGAGGCTGAGGCAGGAGGATTGCTGCAAGTTCATGGCCAGCCTGGACTACAAAGTGACACCCTGTCTCAAAAACCAAAAACCATACCAAACAACCAAAACAAAAACAAAAAAGGAATCAATCACTATAGCTCAGTCCAAAAGCCCTGGATTAACTTCTCAGTACCAAAAAAAAGAAAAGAATAAATATATAGTAATAATAAAACTGAAAATAAAATAAAAATTGAAAGCACTGACACAGTTACCCTCCGTAACTAATGATAGGCCTCCAAGCAGCCCACCCCGGGAGCTATTCGTGTTTACTAATCAGTCTTAGGCATCCTGCTGCACCTGTCAGAAAGCTGCCAAGGAAAGTGATGTAAACACAGCACTGCCCTTGGGGAAAAGAACCTCAGTGTCCAAACAAAAAAATGCATGAGCTATAACTGCAAATATAATCAATAATAATTCTAGTAGACGGAAAATAATCATAATAGCACCAGTAGCAGCTCACTTTTGGCACTTATCTTGAGCACTGAACACTGAGGTAGGCAATTTTCTTTTTTTTTTTTTCTTTTGTGGGAAGGAGAGTACTGGGGATAGAGCCCAGGCCCTTGCACATGCTAGGCAAGTGCTCTGCCATTGAGCTGCATCCCCAGCCCCTTTTTATTTTTTGAGACAAGGTCTCGCTAAGTTGCTCATGCTGCACTTGAGTTGTGATCCTCCTGCCTCAGCTTCCCAAGTAACTGAGATTACAGGCATGCACCACCGTGTCTGGCTGGCCCGGCATTTTATACTCATTTCTCAGGTGATCTCAGCAACAATTTTACAGGGTAGGTTCCGTAATTCTCTCTGCTGTACCAAAGTAGGACCAGAAGCTCATAATGAGGCAGCCACTTGCCTACAGTCACACAGCTGGCAGGAGGCCAAGCGGGGTCTCTGCAGTCTCGACCCCAGCGTCCTGTTCTCCTCTCACAAACCTAGGACATATTCTATTTTCTAGCCTCTGCACCAACAGGCTAAATGCCATTTTTTGCCTAACTTCCTTTTGTTTTGGTACCAGGGATCAAACTCAGGACCTTGTGCTTGTGAGGCAGGCTCCAGAACTACTAAGCTAAATCCCCAGCCCTCCTAACTTCCATTTTTAAGAGAGAAAACAGCTTCCAGTGAGCCAGAACAAATTATATAACATGGTATCTACAATCTACTGCATCTCGTATTAATAACTTTTGTATAAAATACCACATAGACGTCAAGATTTCTAGTAGCGTTGTGACAGATGGAAAAGTAGACAGCAATCAGTATGCACTATGAGAAGTTACTACTTGCTTTTATTAAGTTTTAAATTAAAACATACCTTTCCAGCCATTTCCATTGTAAAAATCGAGAGAAATATGTGCTTTCTTTGTATTCTTCAAATGGTTCTTTACTCAAGTAGTTATGGACAGCACTAAAAAAGAGAGCCAGGGATTTAGCTCAGTGGTGCCGTCGCCTGCCTCACAAGCACAAGGTCCCAAGTTTGATCCCCAGTACCAAAAAAAAAAAGAGAGAGAGAAAAGATGTTACATGGTTATAGAAGAGGTGTTACATGGTTACAGAAGAGATGTTAACGCTGCTACAGGAGAGCTGGTACATGGCTACAGAAGACACTGGTTGCACAAAATCACACAAGCTGTCTGGGTCTGCGGAGCCTGCCTCGCACGGCATCAGAGCAGGCAGCCAGAGCCATGGCATAGACACCTCCTCCAGGCAACCCTTGGGCAGGTGTGGCCCAGGAGGTTCTGAAGGAGGCAGTGCTGGGCTGAAGCAAAGCTACTCGGGGGAAGAGGAGGAAAGGGGGTCTGAGCAGTGGCATTGCCAGTAGGTCAGGAACTGGGAAAGCACTGGCAATTGTCCCACCCTTTCCATGAGCTTCAGAATCTGAGCCAGTCATGTGTGTCCTGTTGCACTTCATTTTATTAAAAGAGGTGGCTTTTGTGGGTTCATTAATGTCACAGAATGATTCTCGAAACAAGGGTCCCTCTGGACCCTGACGATCCCGGGACCTTCACAGAAGTGTTCTCTGTGGGAACCACATCTGCATTTGTCCCAGACATCAGGTGCCCTTCTGAAGTCTCGTTCTCTCAGGACATAAGGCACAGTGACATCACTGCTCAGGGCTCCCACATGACAAACACCACCCACATAACAAAGCCTTGTTGGCCCTCAGTCATTTTAAGAGTGAGATCCAAAGGGCTGAAAGTGCTGCTCCTGTCACTGTGAGGCAGCATGCTGTCCCAGAGGCCATGTGGAGCAGCCCCTCACTTCCTGGTTCCCTTTCTCTGGGGACCTTTGCAAACACTGAAAACCAGGTTGATAACTGTCCTTGGAGCCCATGTCCACGGGAGGGCGCTAACTGCTCTCTCCTCAAGCAATGGGCCTCTCAGGTCCGCAGGCGAGGTCGCTGCAGGGCAGCAGCGGGTCAAGGGCACGGCCTGCCACAGCATCTGGGTAGGAGGAACTGGCTGTCTCCTGCCTGCACCAACACAGCTCCAGCCAAGGTGACCGATGCCTTCCAGTGCTGAGGGGGAGGACAGAAGCCAAAGAGCGGAGCGCGAGTCAGGTTAGCAGAGGTGGATACACATCCACGACTCTCCTCACTCAACTCACTGCCTCACTCCCTGAAAGAAGCCTGGGCTCAAGTGCCATGGCCTCTGGCGCCTCTGTGTGGCAGCCAAATCCAGGCTCGGCCTCACAGGCAACACCCAGCGTTCAGTGTTTTGCAGCTTTGCTCGTGACTCAAACTCACCTCCAACTCAACAACTCCCCAGGGAAACCATGCGGTCTCCTGCCCACCAGCCCCCTAGTTACCTCCACTGCCACTGTCTCACCAGCACATTTCACCCAGCCCAGCACCTCAGCCTCTTGCAAAGCTCCTGGGCTCTGTCCCCATCCAAGTCACCCTCTACACTGCAGCCCTTGAAGCCTCCTAAAGCTGCAACGATCATTCCCCTCAACTGCTTTCCGAGTGACCTCAGTTTCCTTACTGTGGAAGGAGGGACCATCCACACAGCTACAAGAAGCACTGCATGCCTGGGGCGCGGTCACCGAGGAAACCACTCTGGCTCCCAAGTGCACAAGAACCTGAATCTAGCTGAGGTGCTCGGCATCAGTGCTTCCCTGTCCGAGTTGAAAAGACCCAGAGAAAGATACTTTCACCAAGTGCCTCGGTCTGCAAAGCCATTTTGAGAACTTCTTATTTGAGACATAGGCATATTGGAAAGCAGAGCAGAGGTGGCCCAGAGCCGTCACAGGGATGGTAGGTACTGGGGCTCAGTGCATGACGCTCAGGGAGGCATTTGTGTACATGTAACTATTGCTCTTCGCTACCCTTTCTGGTGGAAGGGATCATTTTAATTTGGAATGTGCTCTGACAAGAACTTGTCTCACACGGAGAAACTTCCTGTCAACGCTCTGTGCTGGGCACCACAGGCAAAAGGCGGGCTGTGCACAAACCACTCACCTCTTACATCCCTTGAAGGCGTTTTTGGAGGAGTTGTGCTTCAGATCCCATCTGCATTCTTTCACAGCAGCCACGGGGATCTCTGGTAAAGGAGCTTCCGAGTTCTCAATACGGCACAAATCAGATACAAACAATTAGTGATTTTATAATTTACCAATGACAAATAGAACTTAATGTCTGCTGTGAAAACGAAAGCATAAAGTGTATGAAGTAACGAGTGAAAATGCCACCTGCCCCCTCCAGAGTCAGCCTGGTGGCTGCCTTTTCCTGCCAGTTCCTCTGGACTTGAAGCCTGTCCGGGTGGGAAGGTGGGGTCTCGAGAGGTTTGTGCACACCTGTGTTCATTAGCCACACAGTGGAAACAGCCAAGTCACCGTGAGCTGCTGAATGGATAAACAAAACGTGGCACACACATGCTGCCCTGAAAAGGAGAACACTCCAAAGCAGAGACACAGCAAGAGGGAGAGCACTGGCCTGGCCTGGGAGGCCCAGCTCAGTCCCCAGCACCACACACACACACACACACACACACACACACACACACACACTCTCTGACTCGTGCTGCAGTGTGGATGAACTGAGGACACTATGCTTAGTAAAATAAGTCAGTCACAGGGAACAAATATGAACTGCACGATTTCACTGATGAGATACCTAGAGAAGGAGAGTTCATAGAAACAGAAAGTACAAGGCTAACTACCAGGGGCTGGAGAGAGGCAATTAGGGAGTTGTTCAATGGTAGATTTTCAGGATTTTTGTTTTGTTTTGTTTTGTTTTTGAGACAGAGTCTCACTATGGAGTTCAGGCTGGCCTTGAACTTACCTAGATCCTCCTGTTTCAGCTTCCTGAGTGCTGAGATTACAGATGTGCACCACCACCCCTGGCTAGACTTAGTTTTGCAAGATAAAAAAGGCTCTGGAGGGCTGGAGATTTAGCTCAGTGGTTCTGCCGCCTGCCTCGAAAGCACAAGGTCCCAAGTTCGATCCCCAGTACCAAAAACAAAACAAAAAAAGGCTCTGGAGATTGATTACATAACAGTGTTACTATTCTTAACACTACTGAACTATACACTTAGAAATGTTTAACACAGTAAATTTTATATTATGTTTTTCAACGTAAGTAAAAATTTTAAATCACACATGCACACACGCACACACACACACCCTCCTCAGAAATACACACATCATCATTGTCCTCATACATATAGGAAAAAAGTACGTGGCTAGCACTGTAACTATGAACCTTCGGACATACCCATGTGACTTTCCGGGGTATAGGCTCCTCTGCCCCTGCTCATATTCTAGCTGTTAATTTTGCCATGCAAACAGCACTGCATCACCATCTTGGAGCACTTGGTTCCTATAGAATGGGTTCCTAAACAGAATTACCATCTCACAGTACGCACACTGTGAACAACAACACTGATTGTGAGACACCCTCTAAAGATTCTGCACCTTACACTCACACTCACAGTGTCCCTATGTGCCACCTCCTCTCTAACCCTCATCCAGAGAATTCTGGAAAAACAAAAAACGACAATATGCTTGTATATATTCAAAGAAAAAAATACCTGGATGATGTTGAATTAGTTAATTTATAACTAGAAACAAGAAATACATTCCAGACTGGCTTCTGACTATGGTAGAGCCAAGATACACAACAAGACTT